TGTCGATGCATATAAACCGTCTCATGAAGATTATCATGAAGAAACGCATTCTTCACATCAAGTTGTTTAAGAGGCCATTTATGAGTAACAGCAATGGCTAAAATAGTACGAATGGTAGTCGGTTTGACTACCGGGCTAAAAGTCTCATCACAATCAATGCCAGATCATTGAGCACGACCATTAGCCACAAGTCGTGCTTTATAACGAGCCATTGAGCCATCGGCGTGAAGCTTCTTTTTAAACAACCATATGCAATTAATAATATTAGCCTCCGGCGGACGAGGCACAAGAACCCACGTGTTGTTGTTGATGAGCGCACTGTACTCCTCCTGCATCGCGTTTAGCCAGTGAGGATCTTGGAAAGCCTGTAAGTAAGTCCGAGGTACGGGGGATGTGGAGTCCACATGAAGGTTTAATTTATCAATAGGTTTCTTGATACCACTTTGACCTCGAGTGCGCATGGAGTGTGTAGAAGTGGGTGCCAGATCAGATAGAGAAGTAGACACAGTGGACTGCCGTCAGTAATTGGGCCGAGCGGTGGTAGATGGAGGTCTGTTGGGCCTCAGAACATCATGATGTTGTTGGTGCGAGGCTGGGCTAGTGGAGGGTGAGCTGGGCGGATCAGGCGAAGTGGGATTGGGTATGGGTTCAGTGAGCACGGGCTCGGTGGACAAATTAGGCTCATTGGGTTCCGGTGTATGCGAGATTGGGTCATTAGATTCGGTGGCATTGGATGTAGTAGGTTCAGATTCCGATGAGGGATGGGTGGCATTATGTTGGGATGAGGGGGAAGAGATACGTAGATTAGAGGGTAGGTCAAAATTTTCAAGGAATGAATAAGAGGGAGATTTATTTGGTGTCATGGAACCAAACGGGAAAGTAGTTTTGTCAAAAATGACATGCCGGGAAATGATAATTTGTTTAGTGTCAAGGTTAAGGCAACGATATCATTTATGATTGGTGGGGTATCCGAGAAAAACACACAGTGTAGATCTAGGGGAGAGTTTATGTTTAGTTACAATGTTTGGGTAACAAAGACATCCGAAAACACGGAGATGATGATATGTGGGTTTGATGCGATATAGTTTATGAAATGGTGTGTCATTGTTGATGGCGGTGGAGGGAAGGATATTGACTAAGTGTTCAGCCATTTGAAGAGCTTCAACCCAATAACCGGGTGGAAGACGGGCATGGAAAAGGAGAGTGGGAACTATATTGTTAATAGTACGCAACATACGCTCGGATATACCGTTTTGTTGGGATGTGTGTGGACACGAAAAATGCATTTGGATACTGTGTTTAGCACATAGATTATGAAACCGATGATTATCATATTCGCCACCATTATCACATTGAAAAGCTTTGATGTCGGTTTGAAACTGATTATTAACAAGAGCCCGAAAGTGAACAAACTTAGAAAAGACATCAGATTTAGCACGCAATGGGTATATCCACACAAAATGAGAAAACGTGTCAAGAAAAATAACATAGTATTTAATGCCACTAATACTCTCAACCAGAGAGGTCCAAACATCAGAGTGAACAAGTTCAAAAGGAAACGTGGAAATAGAGTTTGATAAACTAAAGGGTAACTTAAAATGTTTACCCATTTGACACGACTGACATAAGCCAGAAACCTGACTATTATTTGAATATGAAATAGACCGACTATCAACTAATGTCTTGAAAACTTGACGACCGGGATGACCAAGACGCAAATGCCAAATGAACGGAGCAACGGTGAGAAAAACTTGAGGAGACGGAGTGGTAACTGGATAAAGGTCGCCAGTGCTATCACATCGCATTAGAACTTGATTTGTTTGGAGTTCCTTCACAGAAAAACCAAATGGATCAAATTTAATAGAAACATGATTGTCAACAGTAAAACGACGGACAGAAATAAGATTTTAATAATTTGAGGGGTGATAAGTATGTTTTTGAGGATTAAGGGTCGGTAGGGGTTGGGTAATGTGGCATGTCCGACTTTACTTACAGGAATCTTTGATCCATCACCTACCAAAACAGAAAAAGCAAGATTAGTACAATTATCAAGAACGGTTTGTAGTATACCTTGATTATGATGAAGATGTGAAGTCGCCCCAGTGTCCATGTTCCAATCATTGGGTGGTGGGTTCAAGGACATGGCATTGAACATCTCCGGAAGTGCTGTAGGTTGACTGGACATATATGAGTGGGCTGGCTGGATATATGCTTGGGCAGTAGGGGCTGAAGTTGGAGGCCCAAAAAATAGTGTGAATTTGGTGGTGGACTGGGCCCAGGAAAAGAGCCCGGTGATGCAGCTTGGGCCGCGGAGTGTGGACTTGGGAGTAAACCTGGAGTAGCGGGAGTTGTTTGTTGAGATACTGGGTACCATCCGAACGCCCAGGCAGCAGAAGACTGAGCAAGACGAGGCTGTCCGTAATTGAAGCGGCCACCCCGACGACCACCCCTACCGCCACGATAATTGGAAGAATTGTTGGAGCGACTAGAGGTGGGAGGGTTTTGATTTCCGTCAGCAATTAACACAGTGGGTGAAGACGAGTGATCAGAGTGAACAACAGATTGATTTTGATGACGAACTTGATCTTGGATCAGTTGTTGTTCCTCTATCACGAGGATAGACATTGCTTCCATAAACGATTGAGCGGCTTTGGAGTATCGAATTGTACGAGCGATGTCGTGGTATTTTGGAGGTAAGCCGCTGAGAGTGTAAGAGACGAAATTTCGTTCGGGTACGGGTGCTCCGAGGTTCTCAAGCATATCAGAGATTGTTTTGACACGAGTGCAATAGTCATTGATTGATGAATCACCCATGTTGATATTCCGTAACTCGTTCTCCAATTATAGGGCTTTATTCTCTTTGTTTGTACGAAAGAGATCTTCAAGGCTGTGCCAATTCCATAGGTTGTGGATTTCTTTTTTAACACCATGTGAAGCAAATATTAAGAAAGAGTGTTGTATATCCAAGATTTGACAGTAGAATCAAGTTTGCTCCATTCCTTGGGATCGACAGGTGGGGCTTTGTCTTTAGGATCGGATGAGGCAGGCTTGTCTTCCGGGGGAGGTTGAAGATGAACATCAACTCCAAAACTGATACTGTGAGTTTCAAAGAGTTCTCTCCACAGACCATAGTTCATATGATCCAGATCTAAGACTAAGGGGACAACGTTTTTGATATTAATGGTGGAGGATGGTTTGGTAGAATCTCCAGACATCGTGAAGGGAATATAGAAGATATGTGATTAAGACAATAATAATAGAAAGAAGGGAACGAAAGACCTGGTGTGAAAGAGATCGAGGAGAGGCCAAGGAAAAGAAGGATCGATAGAGAGAATGAATGAATCGACAATTAGGGTTAGGCTGATACCATGTAAACTAATAATTTCCCATGAAAATCATTCTCATGCATTATACGGTATAAATACAGATTACAAGTATTTTGGGCCCTTGGCCTAGTAATGGGCTAAACTATGAACAAATACAATGTACAAATAATATACGCTAACACGGGGATACTAAATCTCGAGCGTGTTCTAATATATCTTCTTCCACTGTTGTTTTCATAATAAACATAGCCTTCCGTGCCTTGATCTTCAATTTCCTTAACACCCATTGTTGTCTTCAGGTTCTGGCTGCTTTGTCTCAGTTCCATGTACAACTTCCTAGATATCTCAACGCTGTATGTAGGACTTGATACATGTTAACCAGGTGTTGTAGTTACCATTAATGAGTTTCTTGATGTCGTGTAGTACTTGAAGATCGCCCATGGATATGGGTTAGGATTTGATACCAGTTTGTTAACTTGAAATGGTTTCCTTTAATCTGTACACAACAAGGAGATAGTAAGGATATGGACCTTTTTGGGAGAGAGAACACACAAACTTGCTTTACGTGATTTCTTGCTTAACTGGAATGAAAAACTACATGCCATATAGAGGCTTACATGAAAAACGGTAATATAGGAAACATAAAAAACTACCCACTGATTTGTGTCTATCCCTAAACAGAATACGGTCAAAAGCTAAACTGAAAAAGCAAATAATGCAAAAACATAAAATAAAAAGTTAAAACTAAACAAAAGCATGCACAACACATGCATATATCCCAAGGATAATCAAGTGGGTGTTGTTACTTCAATAAGTTATAACACCAAGTTTCAAAATTTAACCCTCATGGCCCTCATAATTTATTTTTTTTGTAAATTTTTTATGATTTTGAGGTTATTCCATTGTAAAAAATGTTATTGATTAAGGATTTAAAATAGATTGTTAAGTATACATGAATACCGAATTTCCATTTCACAGTAAAAAAAGTTGGTCACATACAAATAACGTTGAATTGATTACCTTCTACTTTTAACAACCACCTCTTCCTTCATTTTCTCCAAATAAAGAACACCAACTCTAAGCTTGTCAACACCTTTTTAGGTTGACCAGATCGTCAAACCTTGTTTTTGGAAAAAGCTCCTTATTATACATTTTATAGGAATAGTTAACTTTTAAGTCTTCTGAATCAATCACAATCTGTACAAATTTCAAGCACCAATGTTTCCATAAAATACAAAAAAAAGGACTAAATAAGAATATATGGTGAAATTTGAAAAAAAGTAATTACTTTTTATGGGTTGTAAAAGAAATATCTTGGGACTCTCCTCAAGTTAGTATTATGGGACTTCAACATATCAATCTATCCTCTAGATGTAGTAATGATAATCTCAATACCTAACATAAAATAGATAAAAAAAACGATCCAATTGTTTTTTTATACCAAGATAGTTGAAAGGAAAAAAAATGATAAAACACTAATCTCATTGCATAAATTTGCCTTAAAGAAGGTCATCACTTCACTGGTAGTTGATGAAATTCTTGTAACACAATGAACTCTGCAGTAAAGTCATGTCAGCAACGCAGTAAGCTAAGTGATACGATTTTAATGAACATGATAACCATGGAAGCAACATGCTTATTATGGTGGATAGAAACAATCTTAATTGTTAAGGACTACCTGCTCACCTTTGACTTTTTATTTTCCTCCCATGCTTTGATGAAAGACAATTTCTTCTCCTTATGGACCCCAGCCAACGTGATATCTAAATCTGAACAAAAAAGATTAACACAATCTCATCAAAATAAAGTATAAAAAGATATGCAGAATTTTTTTTTTCAAAACCATAGAGTTGGAATGATATGACATCCGCAAAAATTACCTTTATCAAGGAGTTCCTTGAACTTTTCGTCCACCTCGGGAACTTGGAACTGGAGTCTCTGTTGAATTTACAATCTCATCAAAATAAAGCACAAAAACATATACATAAACCTTGTTTCAAAACCATAGAGTTTGAATGATATGACAGCCGCAAAAATTACCTCTATCCATTAACAACATGCAAACATAATTAATTAAGCGAAAAATCAAAAGAAATAAAAAGTTTCAGGAATTATGATATGCTTGAAATTAACAAAAACTCTAGAAATATCAACAAAAACACACACAAACACATCTCTATCACTACAAAATAAGCTTTTGCATGATTGAAAACTAAACAGAACTATTTAACTAATAAGAACAATTTATGAAACTAATCACTAAAATTAAGATGAAATCCATGCCGCCAAAAGAATTCACAAAAAAATAAGCAACAGTTACAAACAGAGCCACACAAGAACTCACTGTGCCTAATTATAATCCTAAAAACATAATATTATAATCAAGAATCAACATCTAGCATGATCACAAAACCATGACCACCATACACGCCAATGATTTATTTTAAGGAATTACTTGCTCTTTTGTTGTCTACTTGCTCTTTTGTTGCCACTTCAGTTCACCATTGAAACCCCTTGTGGTGTTGGAGTTAAATCCTATACTCTATTCAAGTCATCCATGCTTCTAAACTTTGTCTTCTTTCAACCCAATTATTTTGATATAGTTTCGAGATTACCTTCTTTTTCTGTTGAGTTCCCTGTCACACATATCAATCTTCGAACTTTTAATCCATGACCTCCAATTAGAGAATTAAAAGTATTAATTTACAGACCTGCAAATTCAAAATCAAAGATTGAAAGGTCTCAATTTCCTAATCTAAAGACTCAATGTTGCACAAAGATGAGTTACAGGTGATACATATGTCATAAAAGGGAAATTTTGGGATTAAATATCTATTTTAAGCATTTCGTCAAACACCTGTCGTGCAACTCAAATGGACTCCATTTTTTGAGCATTAATCACAAACATAAGTCCAGGTTATAGTACCACCTTAGGATGAAATCGACTCCTGTGATACATGAGAAGCCAATACCAAAAACAAAGGTGATTTCAAATTCTTCATTTGGTTAAAGAAACAATAAAAAATGTGCATACGATTCACAAATCAAGACTTTATAGAATAAATCACACCTGAGTCTGCAAATGGAATTACATATTCACTTCTTCTCATTGTTGTTTTCCAATTACCTCCTCAGCTTCAGAGAGAAGCGATCATTCACATCATCATCGTCCCAACTCTGAAATCCCCCGACTCCAGCTCCGATTCGGACTACAGGAATAAGGACGTCTTTGTTGATGCGGCCAAGCTCGTTAGGGTTGGATGACATCAGGACTGCGATGTTGGTGACCGAACCGAAAGGCGGTTTGGATATGAAAATAAGAATGGATTGGCAAGAGAGGTAAGCGTTGGAAGGTAGATAGATTTGGAGGATGAAACTGAAAGAAAATGGCAAAAGTCTAAAGACGGAAAAGTTTGGTGGCCAAAATCAGAAGTGGAGAAAATTTCCTGTAAACAAGCCTCCCCACAATTAAGTATATATATAATATGTGTTTTAAAATTTCAACACTAACATGCTACATATTTATGGTATTCCTCAAATTCTTTTCATTTCATTTATTGAAGTTTCAAAAAATTGCAATAGAACCATGTATATTTTCACAAAGAAATTATAATTTGGTCTAAAATGTCAAAAGCGGTTGAAGTTTACCATGGAATTACAACAATTTAATAATTGGTCAACCATTAAATGGAAACGAACTTTTCTAAATCATTAAGAAAACTATCGTTATTTGATTTTCAATGACCACTAACTAAATTAATATATTATAATCGACAAAGCCTATCAATTAAATTCAATGCTCTAAGACTAAGAGATACAAAATAATCAAAAGTTTAATATTTATTTTTGAAATATCAAACATGTGATTTCCATAAGTGAAAATAGATTGTTACAAATAAACAAATTACACATTGAATTGTTTGTAAAGAACATGGTTAGTCAAAAATATCAACAATAATTTTACTAAAACAGATTAGAGGTTACTACATAAAAAAAAATATTCAATGATATTTTTGCATTTTGGTTTACTAAATGTATCTAGAAACATAATTCTAATTCTACATCACGTGACGATACAAATATATTAGTGAATCATGAAAAAAAAGGTTCAACGATAAGAAAGTTTATATCTAAAATTGGGTGTATAAAAAGTGTTGCGCGATTAATTATGGACAGTTAACCATTGGTAATGACATGTACATTATGATAATGACATTTGTTTTCAAGGATTTTGTCAATATTTTAGTTTTTCGTACAAATAAGCATGTGTTAAAAAATAAATGATAAGTTGGGATATATAGGTTTCTAATATTTATATCGACTTTATTTCTGGTTAAAAATTTGATGGTGTTTACAATTAAACATAGAATTTTCATTGAGGTCTTGATCTATTTTCAAGTCTTGTCAAAATGCGACTTTGAGATCATGTATTTGTAATGTAATTGACAAAAAGAAAGATAGTTAATGTAGACTTTTTATTTCTCATTTACAAAAGAAATTCTTTTTATTAGAAAAATATTTTAATTAAATATTTAAAATCACCATATTAAGGCAATAAACTTTAAATATTCTTAAGTTTTTTTAGAATTAACTCATACGTTTTCTTTATTCTTAAATATGTACAATTTATTGTTAACGGAGATTTTTAATTTTAAATATGGACAATAATATGACAACACTTGAGACGTTATGCCAAAAACCATTTGATAAGGATATTTTTAATTTTAACTATGGACAATTATCTAATAACATTTAAGACGTTATGTCAAAAACCATTTGATAAGGAGATTTTTAATTTAACTATGGACAATAATCTCACGATACTTGAGACGTTATGCCAAAGACCATTTTGATAAATATTGTCAATCTAAGCTTATAAATTATTATAACGTTAATTAAATGTAACCAACTTTAAAAAATTATGAATTGTTTATTTAATGCCCCACTTGAATCTTACTTTGACGCTTATTATGAGAACCTCTCTAGAACAAATTGACTTATTATCTTTAATAGAACCCATAAAACATCCTATTTTAATTGGCTTGTTTAACCTCACTTGAATTTTCTAGTTGTAGCAAACTATTTGCACAAACAAAACTAATCGTCTCTACAAACTACTTTCTAGAAAAAAATATATGTACAAACTATTTGCACAAAAAAACTAATCAATAAAAAATTCACTTTAGTGACAATTTTAGTAAATAATAACAAAATAATCGTAAAAATGATTAATCGAGACCTTTTTTTTGGAATTTCTTTGTGAATATATATATATATATATATATATATATATATATATATATATATATATATTCACAAAAAAAATCCAAATTGCATAATCTTCTTGCAAGATTCTTTTCCTTCACCTCTCTCTCTCTCTCTCTCTCTCTCTCTCTCTCTCTCTCATCATATCACATTTGACGAACGAAAACACTAGTCCTCACCACCGCATCCCACCATGGTTTTCTCTAAATTGTTTCTCTCTCTCATAACAATTTTCTCTAAAAAAACATAGATTAAATTAACGCTAGCCTCCCTCTCATGAAATCTGTAAATGCTATATCTTTTTCTGTTCTCGGTCACTTATCTCAACCTATTCGCTTTGTGTGTGCATGAAAAATATTATGATTAGGATATCAGGAAGAATGGTGGCTAGAGCCAAATCGATTTCGAAAGGTGAAATCACCTAAAGAACTTGATGGATTGGCTTCGAAATCGATTTCAGTTGTAGGTATTTGATATGTGTCCATAAATATTTGTAAACAATCCTAAATCTTTATTTTTTATTCTTATTTATTTTGTATTTGGTAGAATTACTCTTGTTGATAATTATTTAGATGTACTAACTATATGAACAAAAACAACTAATCATCTCTAGAAACTAATTTCTGAACGAAATTATTCGCATCTGTCATTTAGCGCAGGTAAACAACTAGTGAATATATATATATATATATATATATATATATATATATATATATATATATATAATATATATATATATATATATATATATTTGAGAACATGCTAGTTTTGTGAGACAGGTCGACGAAATCCTAGTCACTTATCTTGGAAATCAAAAATAAAAATAAAAAAAATATAAATTGCAAAATAAATCAAGAAATCCAAAAAAAAAAAAAAATTTAAATATTATTTTCTTTATTTAATTTATCCAAAAAATAAAAAATAAATAAATAAATCACCGTTTTTTTCAAAATATGAGTGAAATATTCTATTAGAATATTACACCGTAAATAATAAGATCGAATTTTTAAAATGTTATAATATTCTAATATTCTACTAAAATTGGTGGATATGTTAAAATATTTTAATATTCTCCTTGAATTGTTAGATTTATTAGAATTTTTTTTTAATATTTATAGTTTAATATTCTCTTAGAATATTATAACATTCTAAAAATTTGATTTAAATATTTACAGGATAATGTTTTATTAGAATATTTCATGTATATTTTGAAAAGAAACGGTAATTTTTTTTAATGTTTTTTTTGTATAAAATACATGACCAAAATAATATTTAAATTTTTTTTTGAAAATTTTCATTTATTTTGGATTTTAAAAATATGTTTTTTATCTCCAAAATGAATGGATGAGATTTTGTCCACATGTCTCACAAAATATAATGGTCTCAAATATATATATATATATATATATATATATATATATATATAGAGAGAGAGAGAGAGAGAGAGAGAGAGAGAGAGAGAGAGAGAGAGAGAGAGAGAGAGAGAGAGAGAGACTGTTTTTCAATTTTGCCTCATAGTTTTACAACTAGTAATGAGAACATGTGAGTTATAAAGATAAATTTAAAATATGAGAAATTAAATATTCTCCTACTTTTTGTTCATACATATTCTCCTATCCAATAAAATGGTGATATGTGTAACATTTAATGCTTATTTAATGAAATTTAATGATATTTTAGGATATTAATATAACACATGTTATTATTTAAATGGATAGGATCAAAATGGTACGAGGATATTTAATTTCTCTTCAAATATTTTTTCCATCGTATCATTATTATTGAACAAATATACAAGTTTTATTATTAAACTTAAGAACCCGTGCGTTGTTGGCGCAGGTTTAGATGGTACAGACGAATTTGGGCAATGAGTATCTTTCGGGTTTGGATAGATCCGAACAAAATTATGCAATGGGTTTCCTTTTAGATATTATATTAGAGCTAAACCAAGAAATAGATAAAAATTAAAGAAGTTGGCTTTCTTAATGAATTTTCATCTTTTGTTGCCAAAATTATGGGACATTAATTAATTACCAATTAAATCATAAAAGCCAAAAAGGAGTTTGTAAAGTTTAAGTGATTTTGTTATTCATATTACTCCTCCTAAAATATATTTTTTAATTGATACTTAAATATCTTTTGGACACACATGAGATATATAAAAAAAATTATTTGAACTAACATTTAAAAAATAATGGAATTTAGGATTGTGCGAAAAATCAAAATTAACCTTCACCGAAGATAATTTATATGAATATCACCTGTTATGCATAACGATAATAAGTACAGGATGATAACTTCACTTCAATTTTTCCAACATAAGAGGAAATCTTATAATTAATATTTAATACAATACATGATAATTTAAAACACATTTAATCCGTTGGTAACTGCAAACTGCAAACTGCTACCTAGTATATTGGTTTTTTTTTTTAAATTTTAAAATAACAATAAAAGAAAGAATCGAATAGTTTTTATATAAGTAATAGTGTTTAATATCTGAATCAACATATAGTTTTTGTTATAAAGCCTCGGAATTAGTAATTCCTCCTTATCTTCGTTTGTTATAAAGTATACCTTATCTTCGTTCGTTATAAAAAAACAAATATATTTGAACTAACATTTAAAAAATAATGGAATTTAGGCATGTGCGAAAAATAAAAATTAACCTTCACCAAAGATAATTTATATGAATATCACTAGTTATGCATCACGATAATAAGTACAGGGTGATAACTTCACTTCAATTTTTCCAACATAAGAGGAAATCTTATAATTAATATTTAATACAATACATGATAATTTAAAACACATTTAATCTGTTACTAACTGCAAACTGCTACCTAGTATATTGGTTTTTTTTATAAAAATTTGATAATAACAATAAAAGAAAGAATCGAATAACTTTATATAAATAACAGTGTTTAATATCTGAATCGACATATAGTTTTTGTTATAAAGCTCCTTATCTTCGTTCGTTGTAAAGTATACCTTAAATGGCA